CTTTGTTGAAAAGGGTCTGTGTAGTCTTTCTGGCTATTCCGCCATATTACTGCAACTCCCTATAAGCAAAATACTAAGTGCATGGTATAAAACCATAATTCATATTGCATTTACACTAAAATTTATTAATAATTGAGAAATAAATAATTAGTAATTGAGAAAGTCCTTCTCATTTATGATTACTGAACCAGCAATAATGACTTTTAAAAATACGCAAGTAAGGATATCACTTGTGATATAAAAGTGAAATAAGTTGAAAATGTATTTTTTGCAATGCCTAAGCCATCTAATTGCTACCTAGAAGGCTGAAGGTTCAAACCCACAAGCTACTCCATGGAAGGAAGATCAGGAAATCTACTTCTGTAAACATTTACTTCCTTGGAAACCCAATGGGGGTTGCTAGGAGTCCAAATGGACTTGATGGCAGTGAGTTTGGTTTCTCTTATAGTTAAAAATACATGTTTCTCTAAAAATATTTCATTTTAAAAACTGAAAGAATTTATTTTTTTACATGTACATTTAGTTTTACTCCATTTACCATCCCCAAACCCACCCCAATCTCCTCCCCTCCCTGCTCAGTAACTCTCCCTCCATGCCCCTCATAGATATGCACTCCTGTGTGTCCTGCATTTCCTCCATGCGAATGTTGCCCCTTTGGTGCCCTGTGGTCGATTGCTCCAAGGGATTAATTTCCATAGAGTATGTGGGTACCACACTCTGGGTTGAGTGGTCTGTATGTACATCTTGTTTACTATTGGGCAGAGGGCCAGCCCCTGGAAGTAAGCTTTATTCCAGGCCCAGATGTATCCCAGGACTATAGTATTGGGGGTCTCATCAGACTCCATCCGACCAGTAATTCTGGTCATTACTGAGTTTTTGGATTTTGTTCCATGTTTTTCCTGCTACTCTATCCAGGATCTCCAGATTTGATCCTTTCTTGAGTGGTTGGCATTGATAGCCAGGTACCATTTAGTTCTGAAAGAATTTAACTGAAAAGAATTTTGAGGAGGAAGTAAAACCCCATCCTGTTAAGAGTCCAACAAAAAACTGAGGTAATGACACTTGTAATCATATGATCAAAAGTCCTTGCCACAGTGAAGAGGAAATTTGCATTTTAATTTTGGCTCTAGTTTGCTAAACTAAGAATAGTACTTTATCCCCCAGTTTCTCCATTGGTTAGATGGAGAAGTATCTTTTATTTTTAAAAGAATTATGTTAAGGACCAGTGGATTTATGCTTACACTTGAAAACAGTATTACTATGGAACTCAGGAATAGGAGTAAGCATGTGTTGCCTAAAAGATTTTGGTTACTAATAAAAAGCAGAACCATGATAGCTAAGGCTCCTAAACTATTTTAAAAAACTCCATCTTTGTGAGACCTGACACACTACGTTTTAAAAATACTTTCTATGTCTCTCTGCTATAATTATGTATGAAAAGAGATTTCATGTAATGTTAGATTACTCTCATATATTAACAAAAATTAAAAGGCTTTTTGGTAAAATTGATTAAATCAAGAAATCTTGTATTCACTTTGTGGTCTAACTACAGTCTAACATTCTTACATGATATTACAAGACTGATAGATAAAAATACCAAATAATTTAGTCAACATAAGTTCTAATTGTTTAAATCACCAATATGCTAAACTCTCAAAACAAAACTATTTCCTAATTTTTTGCAATTACTGTTGACTAAAAAAATCTGACAATCCACCCTGAGTATATGTCAAATATATAACTCACCATAATACTAGAGTAAGGCTAAGCCTAAGTTTTTAGTCCCATCAAATATGATGATATAAGTAATATTACTTGGTTTTTCACTTTTCAAATTCTTGTAGGCTTACTCATACGCCACTTTCAAGAGACTAAATCTAAGACTTATTTCAAAATGTTAAGCAGCTGGAAAAAGTGGTAAGGACCAATGATAGATGCTTTTAAACAAATTAAGTGATTTTCCTACTCATAATTCAGATATTTCAAAGTGAGGTCCTAGGACCACTTGTATCAGAAGCATCTGGTGAGCTTATTTGGGGGAGGGGGTGGAAACACAGTAAGAATATCTGAAACAGAAAGCTGTTATCATTTAATCTTCACAACAACTTTATGAGGTAGGTACTATTATTTCGCATTGTACAGATGAAGAATTAGAAACCCAAAGAGGTTATGTAACTTAGCTAAGGTTGTAGAGTAAGTAAGTAAGCTCACAGTTGTTGCACCCTATTTGCCTGTTTCCAAAACTCATATGCTTAACCACTGGGAAGTCTATTGGTGTTCATATACACCCACTGAAACACAATCTTTAGGGGATAAAGACCAAGAATCTTCATTTTTAATAAAAGCATCTGATTACTTTTAAACTGCCTGAAATTTGAGAACCACTGATAATTTTTAGGAAAAAGTAGGCAGATATGGTTAGTCTTTTGGTGATACACAATAAACACAAATGCAATCTACCACTGCAATCCCCACAGTGTACATTATTAATAGGGGAGAGATTATTTTCTTAAACTGAAGCATAAATATTAGGTGTGTATATAAACAAACATGGAGTCTTCTCGAAGCAAATAGGCAGAAACATTTTTTCTCTAACTTTAAAAAAGTCAAGAAACTTACCATTAAACTAAAAAGTTACTGAGGTGAAAACAAGATTCCCTTTTTATATTCATAAGGACTTAAAAAGAAGTTAAACTTCATAATGTAATCCCTGAATAAGTTTCTATCTAACATGTTTCATTGTCAATTTAAAGAAGAGCAGTCCGTTGGCAAATATGTCAAGTTTTCCAAAAGGAATATAACATCTGTAATAAGATAGTTTAGAATGCATAATATTAAGAAAATCTTCTGGCTAAATATTTCTGTAAGGATTTTTCATGTATAATACTAGAAATGTGATATTTAAAACAACTTAGATAAAATGAATAATTTGTAGAATCTAAGGTGCTCAATGTCCTTGTATTAAGGCTTTTAGGCAGGAAATAAATAAATTCACTTTATTATATAATAGTCTTCTTACATGTAAGGTGCTTTCAAACAATTAAAGAAACAAAGTCTACATAAAAGTATTTTAAGAGGCAAAACTAAGTTTTGCATTTAACAACATTACTGGTGGCTAATACCATCTATCTCCTATTGTATTACCGTGCTTATCTGAAGCAAATGACTTATTCTCTGGAAGATGGTTGTTCATTTTCTTTATGAATAATAACATGGTATTCATCTTGTGAACTAGGTATAAGAACCATTGCTCTGATGACATTAGCCAGACACTCAGAGACACACTTACTTACACTCACACCCGAGGACCTTAAGAACCAGGAAGGGAACTCTGTTTTTAAAAGTTCAATCAGGCAAAATGTGTACTCTTGACCTTATGTTTCTGAGAGTAGTAAGCAAAATGGTAAAAAACTGAATAAAAGCATCACTTAAGACAGTGTTTTTCAAACATTTTTGCCCATGACTCAGAGTCAAAAATACATTTTATGTAAATATGCACACACACACACACACACAATCGAAACCAAACGTTCATGAAAACAGTATTTACCCTTACTACATATGTGCCACACTTTGATACGTTCTTTTCTATCTTAATTTTGTTAGCTTAAAAAAAAAAAAAGTCATGTAATGCTCTAAATTGATTTTCTGCTTCATAAATGGATCACCACCTGCAATTTAAAAAACACTATGACAATTATTACATGTAAACATCCATCCAGGAAATTAGGATGGAGAAAATATCAACAATAGGCAAGATCTGTCCTGAGATCTATACTCTCAGGACCAAAGCTTTGAGGATTTGAGGGAAAAATGAGTGGGAACTCAACGATAGCATGATACCAGTGAAAAGCATGGTGATAAAATATTATAGCACTAAATAATATGTACAAGCAATGGTACAAAGGTCTCTAAGTAAATAATAAAGTCACATTTTTTGTTGACAATTTGGAACCAAGGATACTTTATATAAAAGAATTCTGTAGGAAGATGCATTTGTAATTCATCCTAAAAATGTCATTGAAAATACTCTATTCTGAAACACTGAGAAAAATACATCCTTTCTCTGGTCACTTTAAATTATTAAGTTTTTATCAATTAGTAACTTCTATGAAACACTTCTAAAAATACTATTTTTACTGAAAGTAAATGTGCCCATATTTCTGGATATAAGTAACTGTTATACTCACATTGTATATTACCAGTATTTTCATAGTTACTACTCCATTTTCTTTTTCACTTGAGACTCACATAAATTAACTTAAACATCATTTTATCTCTTGGCATTTAAGCATTAGCTTGTAAAACTTTTAGTGAAGTGTTTAATCTGAGATGGACTAGATATACTAATGCAAAGAAATTTTTCAAGAAAGTGCCATAACTGAAGAAAGAGTATCTTTCATAAAACAGAAAAACAACAGCATAAACTGAATTAAGGTATGATTCTCTACTTACGCTTAGTATTAGAGGAAAAAACCCTTTACAATCATATGGCAGTACATATAATTTCCAGAAATGTTTAAAGACCACTTCAATTACCCTTTACTAAATATTCTGTCCGATGTTCATAAAAAGCTAAAAGTTAAGTGTTTTTTTTAGTTAATAAGCCTATCATTTCTGTAGTGCCCAAATAAATGAAAATGGGTTACATAGGCAACATTACCATATATAAATTATGATTTTGGTCTTGACTGATTTTCATTTACACATGTGCTTCTATATGTATGGCCATTAAATTACTTCTACAAAACTTTGGTCACAAGAAACGACAGATTTTTGACTATCAGGAGATAAAAATAAAGGAAAATAACTGTGAAATATTAGCAGATTTAATCATGATTATGCCTATGTTTGCAGGAAATAAACGTCATAGCTGAAAACGTTTTATTAAAAGTATGTGCTAGTTTCTTGAAATTCAGCTACTCTCTCAAGGAAAGATATAAATGCCAAACAAGAAATTAAACAACAAAAAAAATTTGAGACAAAGTTGAAACATTTACCTGAAATTCTGGTACAGTAGGTGACTTTGTGACAGTTTTCCTCTTCTTTGTGATTGCTTTTTTAGATATGGATTTTTCTCCTTTCAAGATTAAAAAAGAAAAGCTTCATAATGCTGTTTATAGCACTTCATTAACAAAAACCAAATTACATACAGCCTTGAAAGTTAAATTATAACAGATGGCTGCTAGTAGGTCAAATAAAAATGGTGAATCAAAACAAGCCCCACTGAAAGCAAACATTAAACTATAACTACTTGTAACGACATATTAACAAATGCTGTTTTCTTTATACAAGAACCAAACTATTACAATCTCAGTGTGTTGCGTAATATCAGCATTTATTGCAGTAAGATCTGGCCAAATAAAATAAAATAAATCCTATTACTACTGCTCAGTTACAACTAACTACATTCACAACTTAAAATGAAACTACAAGGAAAAGAGCAGAACAAAACAGCTTACCTTTAATAATAACTTGTGTAGTCAGGAACTTGCACAAAACTACACTCTGAAGGTTATGGTCTCTAGCCAACCTAAAGTGAAAATCCCTTCAGTAGCTTAGAAACATGGTTTTTCTATGTCTTTAACCCTGCACTCATCCAATGGGCTGCCTCTGGCAGAATTCAATATCCAAAGTTTTAAAAGAAGATAAACATCTCCCTTTCAAGTGTTCCTAGTCACGTGTACAATCAGAAATCACTGAGAAAAATAAACCTCACATTGTTAAAGAAGTCAACTTCATGACATAAAGTATATCTACTCTTTGTGTTTCACCTGATAACAAAGTTAAATACAGGCACATAACTTCTATTTTAATAGGAGCATGTTAAAGTAACCATGCTTCCTTCTCCCATTTGTAATTAGCAAAACCAAATAACCAATAATTCTTTAAGAAACACAATAGGTATAAGGCACTGTACAAATCATGAGGACAAGAAGAAATTACAGTTTCTGTCCTCCAAAGAGTTCAAAATCAGTGTATCAGAAAAAAGCAAAGGTAGTATTTCTTTGTTAATTTTAGGTTATAATCATTTTAGGCTAAAATCAGCTTAACAGTTACTATTACTTTTTTCAAAAGGAAAATGATTAAGTAAATAAAGTGACTTTGCTATAAATAATCCCTAATGCTCTTTAGATCCAATTCCAGTTTACAGTATCACTGTATTATCTTCTGTATTCCTTTTCAATCACATCACAAAAGAACTGCTATTGGATAATTTCTAACTTGACTAATAAAATGCTTGTGTACTGCTGGATCCAATGCAAATCCTGAGTTGCTGAGGTACAAGAGAGTTTCAGTGTCCTGTTCCAAAAGCACCCTGCTGTCATTTGACATTTGCTTTTAATTGATTTGAAATTAAACATATATTTCTAGTCTCATCACTGTTACAAACTTTTGTGTTTACAAAGTACCTGCAACAGAGAACTAATCACCTAAGTGCTTTTTTTTTTTTTTTTTTTTTTTTAAGTAAGTAATAATACTCAGGGAGAAGGAGTACAATTTTGGTATCTCTATTACACAACTGGGAGCTCTGGTAGCATAGTGGCTAAGGCACTTGACTAGCTAACCAGAAGGCTGGCAGTTCAAACCTACCACCCACTCCTTGGGAGATATGGGGCAATCTACTTCTGTAGCGACAGTACCTCGGAAATCCAAGGAAGTGTCGCTATGAGTTGAGTCTGACTCGACAGCACATAACAACAACAACAACATTACACAACTAAAAATTGATTTCTCAACTAGACACCAAGTGGGCTCAGGAATCTGAACACCAGGGTGTCTCTGTATACTACCTTTACCATTTCTTAAAATGCACAGGAGAAGATTTAATGGTCTGCTGACCTAAGTCTACAGTAAGAATCTGTTTTCAGAGAGTACTCACAGGTCTGCTTCAAAAAAGAGCTAGCTATAAAAACAGTAATTAGAAGAAAATGAAATCCTTCCTCAACCTCTGCCTCCCAGCACTGCTCTCAAACTCACTGCCATCCAGTTGGATCTGACTCATAGCCACCCCTCCATGGGTTTCCGAGGCAGTATCTCTACAGAAGTAGATTGCCCAATCTTCCTTCTGAGGAGTGGCTGGTAGGTTTGAACCACCAGCCTTCTGGTTAGCAGTCCAATGCCTTAGGCATTATGCTACCAGAGCTCCTAATTAGTTTTTTTTTTTTTTTTTTTTAAAGAAATCATTTGATTTTGTATTCAATAGTACAACTGAGGTCACCCTTGATATTCCCAAGATTTATTGTCTTGTAGGCACTCAATGAAGAGCTCTGGTGGCATAGTGGATAAGGCAATCTACTTCTGTAAGGATTTAAAACCTTGGAAATCCAATGAGGATCTCTGAGTCAGAACTGATTTGATGGTAGAGGGTTTGGTAGACACTCAATGTAGGTACTGATCTCAGTTAACCCAAGGAGTCACTCTGAAAGGATTACAAAGCTGAAGTGGTGAAGTACAAGGTACTTTAGCTGACCAAGCCATTAGAATATTTAACTTTTAAAAAGTGACTAGAGGCAGTATTGGGTAGTGGTTACTGGGTAATGTTTATAAACTTGTGTTTGAACTACCAAGTTTAAATACCAGCTCTACTAGCCTGTGATACTTAAGCAAATGCTTCATTTTTCTGTGCCATTTCTTCATCTGGAAAACAGAGATAGTATTATCTTTTAACTCTTTGAATGAGTTAAAACATGTAAAGAGCTTAGAATACTGCCAGGCACACATTACCACCAAGAAGTGTTAGCTGTTACTGTTATCTGCAGTAGCTAGGCTCAGTTGATAGAGTCTAAACAGAAAATCTTTATTATCTTTTAATTCTCTTCAAGTTTTCTTTTTTAAATTAACATATTGTGTCATCTTGGTTTTTCCTGCTCATGTATCTTCTGTGCTACCATTCTACTTTGTGAACATATCAATTAATGTTAACACTTATAATACAGAATTGCAATTATCTATTCATGTATTTTCTGCTTTACCAGATTGTGAATTACTGAGGAAAGAAATAACATTATTCACTTTGTATCTATATAACTTAGTTCTGAAACCACATCTCCCTCCCCCCAAAAAAACCAAACTCACTGCCATTGAGTCTATTCTGACTCCTAGTGACCTCCATTGGGTTTCCAAGGCCGTAAATCTTCATGGAAGTAGACTGCCCCATCTTCCTTCTGTAGAGTGGCTGGTGGGTTTGAACCAGCAAAAGACCTTGTGGTTGGCAGCAAAATGCCTTACACACTGAGCCACCAGAGCTCCTTAGTTCTGAAAAGCCATCTTAAACACAAGAATCCTACTCTTCATCAGAAATTCCACCACTCTAGGGTGGAAAAAGGAAGCAGTAACTACTCTGCAACTATGAAGATCTTTTTGAGTTAATTTTATAATGAAGGAAACACTGAATATCATTTTAAATAACTTACAAAACTTATCAGAAAGTCTTACATGACCTAAGAATCGTAACAAGAATGTAACATTTACTGAGAGCCTACTATGTGTCAATGGAGCCCTGGTGGTATGGTGGTTAAAGCACTCAGCTAACTAAAAGGGTAGTGGTTCAAACCCACCAGCCACTTTACAGGAGAAAGATGTGGCAGTCGGCTTCCATAAAGATTACAGCCTTGGAAACAGTCTAGGTTAGTTCTACCCTGACCCATAGGGTCACTACGAGTTGGATTCCACTTGATGGCAATGAGAACTACGCGTCCGACACTTAGTAAGGTGATTTACATATATTTCATTTAATTCTCAAAATAACTAAGGTAGGTAACTATTGTTGTTAGGTGCCATCGAGCTGGTTCCAACTCATAGTGACCCTGTGTACAAAAGAACAAAACACTGTCCAGTCCTGCACCACCCTTACAATCATTGTTATGTTTGGGCCCACTGTTGCAACCACTGCGTCATCTCATCTCATTGAGGATCTTCCTCTTTTTCACTGACCTTCTACTTAATCAAGCATGAGGTCCTTCTCTCCAGGGACTGGTCCCCCCCTCTTTTTTTTTTTTTTTTATTTTATTATGATTTGGGTACAAATTTACAAAGCAAAATTTGTCTTACATTCAACAGTTCATGTACATTTGATTTCACGCCACGATTTACCATCCCCGACCATAACAAATTGTCCTCTCCTCCCATCTCCCTGACTACCCCCTCTCTGTGTCCTTCTTAACTATGCACTCCTGTCTCTTCAGCTTTTCCTCTATGTGAATGCTGCCCCTCCGGTGCCCCATGGCAGATTGCTCTAAAGGGCATCTCCCTAGAGGGTGGGTGCATTGCCCTGGGGTAGGTGTTCTGCATGTAGGTCTTTCTATTGTTGGGCTAAGAGCCAATCCATGGGAGAGAGTCCAATTCTAGGCCTGAAGAGTAACACAGGGCCATAGTCTTGGGGGTTCCACTAGACTATCAGACTAGCAATTCTGGTCATTTTTTTTTTTGAATTTCATTCCCCTTTTTTCCTACCACTTATCCAGGACCTCCAGTTTTGATCCCTTTCCGAGTGGCTGGCATTGGTAGCCAGGCACCATCTAGTTCTTCTGGTCTTGGGTCCATCATATCCTTGGACTGTTTCCAGATGCCTTTGATTTTCTTCACTCTTCTTTGATTCAGAGGAGATGAGACCAATAGTTGCATCTTAGGTGGCCGCTCAGCTTTTAAGAACCCCAGGGACTGGTCCTTCTTGATAACATGTCCAAAGTGAGATGAAGTCTCACCATCCTCACTTCTAAGCAGCATTCTGGTTGTCTTCCAAGACAGATTTGTTCATTCTGATAGTCCATGGTATGTATACTCAATATTCTTCACCAACACCATAATTCAAAGGCATCAATTCTTCGGTCCTCCTTACTCAATTGTTCAGCTTTCCCACATATATGAGGAGACTGAAAATACCATGGCTTGGGTCAGATGCATGTTAGTCCTCAAAATGACATCTTTGCTTTTTAACACTTTAAAGAGGTCTTTTGCAGATTTGCCCAATGCAGTAAGTATGTCATTTTATTTCCTGACTGCTGGTTCCATGGGTGTTGACTGTGGATACAAATAAAATTAAATCCTTGACAATTCCAATCTTTCTGTTTATCATGA